GCATCCCCAGTGGCCCGCCTTGCTCTCCAGGCCTCTGACTTCATTGGAGAGGACACATCTGTGGGGTGAAAATGTGCCTTTAACTCCCTGCAGCTCCTCTCCCAGAGCAGGATCCAGCAAAGGGGTGGGGTTCAGAACTGGACTTGGCTGCACCCAGGGAAGGGAAGCCAGGAGCCCTGGGGTCACTTGGTGCCTGGGAAGGGGTGTGGCTGAGGCGGGAGGAGAGGAACTGAGAGCAGTTGGGGTCCTTGGGAGAAGCAGGATGGAGGAGGTCTCTTGATGAGGACTGGCCCACCGTCTGCCCCTGCACCCCTTCTCTTACGGGTCTCCAATGGAGAGAGGGGTCCCTGGGCTGGCTACCCAAGCTGTAGCCCCACCTTGGGCCTCAGGCGTGTAGGCATATGTGTGGGGAGGTGGGTGAGGGGTGCAGGCACCTGCCTGGTTCAGGCTCCAGGAGCAGGTCCCTTGTAGGTGGCAGTTGCAGGTGGGCCCTAAGGAGTGAGAAGGGCTCAGGGCCACCCATTCCCCCTCAGCACATCCCCTCCCTCGCTGAGCCTCAGTGTGCCTGCCTGGCCAATGGGGCCATCAGTGGTGGTGGGCACCTCTGCAGTGTCCATGGAGCAGGCTGGAGGGCCAGTGGTCACTCTTCCGTGGACCCACACTGTCAGACGGCTGTCACCACCAAGCCAGGCACCCAAACACGAAGGTCTGTGTGTCCAGCTGGCCGGAGGTTCACGGGGGTTTGCCTCCCAGGGGCCAGAGGGCACTTAGACAGCCTGCAACCTGCACCCTGCCTAGTCCTGTGGGTTGGGGCCAGGCCTGGGGGCTGAGGGGGCCGGGCAGGGCGTCCCCTCCCTGGCACAGGTCGGGGCAACCTCTGTCTCTCTTGACCTAGTTCCCCTCCCTCCCTCCCCAGGCACTGTTTGCACAGCTGGCCCTGGCGTCCTGCCTCGCCCTGCCCCGCCCTACCCCACTTCACCTCACACTACCGGGCCCACAGGTGCTGCCTGGGGCCATGACTCAGGGTGCCTGGGCCTGCCCAGTGTGGGCGCTCGGCACTAGGTCTGGCTTCCCTTCCCCAGGTCAGGGTCTCAGGGAACAGGGCCCCCGAACCTTGGGACTGAGTCAGTGCCTGGCCCCTGTCGCCAGAGTGGGATTTGGGCACCTGGGTCCATCCAAGGAGTTCGTTAGCTTTTCTACAATGTGTGGTGCTCGGACCTGGGGCCAGGTCAGCGAAGGTTAAAACAGGAAAAAAATCCTGACCCGTCTCATAAAAACAAAACAAAACAAACTCGGTGCCCTTGAGTGGATTCGAGTCATAGCAACCCCTCCTTGGGTTTCTGAGGCGGTAAGTCTTTATGGAAGTAGATTGACCAATCTTCCTTCCAAGGAGTGGCTGGTGAGTTTGACCACCAGCCCTCTGGTTGGCAGTCAAGTGCCTTAGGCACTAGGCCACCAGAGAGACTTTATATGACAGAGTGGAACTGCCTCATAGAGTTTCCAAGGCTGTCAGTCTTCACGGAAGCAAAGCCCAAGCCATACCACTGCCGTGGAGTCCATTTTGACCCACAGCGCCCCTAGAGGACAGAGTGGAACTGCCCACAGTGTCTCCAAGGCTGTCCATCTTCATGGTTCTTGATCACCAAGTCTTTCCCCCTGTGGAGTGGCTGGTAGGTGCCAACCGCCAACTTTGAGGTAGCAGCTAAGCACTTAACTGCTGCACCACCAGGGCTCCTTCAGAGATGAGGGTTAGTAGGGCTGTCATTAAAGGCAGGAGGGGAAAGGGGGCTACCCTCTGTGGGGGGACTTGTCAATAACTCACAGCCTAATTTCGAGGAGGCCACCATCCAGGGAAGGAAAGCGTGACCTCGGGTAATTACAGTGCAGAGGCTCGGGGCCTGGGAGTGGCAAGCCCAGGCCGGCCTTGTGGAACTTGGGGGTGACAGTCAGAGTGGGGTCAGGTCAGGGTTGGGTGCAGTGGAAAGCTGGGTGGAGGTAGGTCTGGCGGGTGGGGATGGCTGGGACTCAGGGGAGCGGGTACTTGGGGTGGGTGGTGGCAGAGAATTTTCCGGAAAGACAGATGCCTGGTGGGGAAGATCTTGGAGGTCCTCAGGGACTGTCATACTGTTTTCCCTGGAGCAGTGATGAGCAAGGGCCGCTTGGGCCCCACTACGGCCTGTTCATGACCCACCTCACAGGCTGCCCCCAAACAGGACAGGTGGGTTGAGGGGGAGGGAGGCTCGCCCCCCTGGAGGACCAGTTACTGTTGAGTGGGCCCTGACCCAAGGTGACCCTGTGTGTCAGAGTAGAACTGTGTTCCAGAGCGTGTCCAGCGGCCGATTGTTTTGTAAGTTGACTGTTGTTGTTGTTATGTGCCGTTGAGTTGGACCCGACTCATAGCGACCCCTCCTTGGGTTTCCGAGGCAGTATCACTACGGAAGTAGATTGCCCCATCTTCCTTCCAGGGAGTGGCTGGTGGGTTTGAACCGCCAGCATTCTGGTTAGCAGTCAAGTGCCTTAGCCACTATGCTACCAGAGCTCCCAAAGTAAGTTGACTGGTTGGTCTTTATTCCCGGGCAGCTTTGGACAGACTCTGGCCTGCAGCCTTTCCGTCAACATCAGAGCTGTTACCACCACCCAGAGACTCCCAGCTGGAGAACAAGGGGGCCAGTCCTGTTCTGGGATGGGAGAGGCTCGAGGGGTCACCCGCTCAGGCCGCCTGTCCGCCCTTCTTTCTGCAGGAGTCTGATGCCGCGGACGCTGGAGGGGCAGATCACCATGGAGAAGACACCCAGCTACTTCGTCACGCGTGAGGTCCCCCGCCGCATCCACGGCATGTCCCCGGACACGAAGCTGATCGTGGTGGTCCGCAATCCCGTGACGCGGGCCATCTCCGACTACGCCCAGACGCTCTCCAAGACCCCGGGCCTGCCCAGCTTCCGAGCCCTGGCCTTCCGCCATGGCCTGGGCCGGGTGGACACCGCCTGGAGCGCCGTGCGCATCGGCCTGTACGCGCAGCACCTGGCGCGCTGGCTGCGCTACTTCCCTCTGTCGCACTTCCTGTTCGTCAGCGGAGAGCGCCTGGTGAGCGACCCGGCCGGGGAGGTGGGCCGCGTGCAGGACTTCCTGGGCCTCAAGCGCGTCATCACGGACAAGCACTTCTACTTCAACGCCACCAAGGGCTTCCCCTGCCTCAAGAAGGCGCAGGGCGGCAGCGGGCCCCGCTGCCTGGGCAAGTCCAAGGGCCGGCCCCACCCTCGAGTGCCCGAGGCCGTGGTCCAGCGGCTACGCGACTTCTACCGGCCCTTCAACCGCAAGTTCTACCAGATGACCGGCCAGGACTTCGGCTGGGACTGACGGGCCCCACACCCTGCCCAGGGACCCTTGGGAACCTTAATTTATGTCCGTGCACTAGCCAGAGCAGGCTGCGTCTGTGCACTGGGCAGAGAGAATATTTAAGGAATAAAGGTCTCGCTGGTGTTCTCACAGGACCTGGAGAGCTGGGGAGGCAGGGCGCCAGTACCCTGCTGGGTGGGTAACCGCACCAGCCAAGCTTATGGGCTCAGACCCCACGGGGGCTGCTCCGTGTACATCCTTTGGGGCTGGCCGTGTGATGGGTCTCATGTCAGGGACATCAAGCCAAGGCTCAGAGAGGCTTCCGGCCTGCCCAGTGACACACAGCAGAGCCCTGGTGGCTCTAGAGGCCACCGCAGCCTCTCTCCATCACACAGAGCAAGGCTTGTCCGCACCTTCCGGGTGAGGACACGGAGCCCTGGGTTGCTCAGGGAAGTGGTGGCCCAATTCCCTGTCCTACTGCACAGCGGGAGGAGCCGTGGTGGTGCTCACTAAAGTGAGCTGCTTACCGCAAAGGTCAGCAGTTCGAACCTGCCAGGCGTCTGAGAGAGAAAGACCAAACCATCCATTCCCACAAAGATCACACCCTAAGAAACCCTGTGGGTCCGTTCTGCTCAGTCACTCGGGCTCGATGAGTTGGGATTGGCACCGTAGTGCACAGTGGACAGTCCCTCCTGCCAGGGGTGTGAGCTGACCCTGGGTGGAATTGGGATGTGTTTCCAAGCGCTTCCCGGCACAGCCCTGCCCCACCCCGGCTGTGACCAGCCCCTGCCCCAGGCCCTGGCTGCCTCAATTCAGCGGCTTTAGGGCCACTGCCTCCTGGACGAGCACATCGGAGGTCCATCTGCAGGCCAGCTGCCCAGGCAGCTCCTAACGAGCTGGGCCAGCCTCCCAGGCAGGCTGGGGACCCAGCTTGTCCCCACCCCTGGAGGGGGCCCTCTCAGCCCCTCCGGGTGCCCACTGGCTCCCTGACTGGCCACCGGGCTGCCCCTCAGGTCCATGGCCTGGGGTGGCCGTCATGTGGACCTCCACCTCTGAGCTGCTCTGAGCAGCTTCCTGCCCTGGGCTGGGGTGCATCGGGGAGGACGAGGGAGGAATGGGTGTCTGGAGACCAGGGGGGCCAGCCGGTCAGTCACCTCTCCCTCTCTGGTTGCCCTAAGAGTCAGCTGTGAGCTGTGGTGCTGTGGGCAGTGCCTTGTCACTTATCCCACAACCCCACAGTCAGCTGAGGTCAGCGTGTGGGCCCAGCGGATGCCTGGCTGGAGCTGCCCAGAAGGGCCGGCACCGTCACCAGACCTCACCCTCTTGTGCCGGACACAGCGGGCTCCTCACCCTCCCTGCACCCCTTTGTCCCCTACACCGAGTTCTGTGCATGGCATCCAGAGGGACGATTTCAGATTAACTAGACTCCATTGTTCTAAATGCTCCAATCCTCTCCTCGCCGTGTTGCTTTCAGGATGAACACCAGACACTTGACAGCAACACGTCAGGCCATCTGAGGCTGGTCCCCTATCCTACCAGCTCCCCTCCCCACCACTGCAGCCACACTGCAGGGGCCCCTCCAGCTCCTTCCACCGGCCAGGCTCCTGCCGACCTCAGGGCCTTTGCACATGCCATCCCCCCTGGCCTGGGATGCCTTTCCCAGCTGAAGTGGAACTGTTCTCACTCTGGGACATCCTAATTTTCTCCCTATGACTTGGAGTCCCTTTCCTGAGCCCAGGGACGTGACCCACTTCTCCATTCTTTTGAGGCCTTTTTGGACACAGAGCTGAGGGAGGGGCTGGCCAGGCATGTTCTGCTCCCCCCCCAAAGGGGACACTTGGCCTGGCCACCAACACCTTTCGAGGTGAACAGCTGTCCCTCAGACACACTGTGGGCAGATGTTTGGTGTGTGTGGGGGGCTCCTTGGGAGAGTCATCGGCCTTTAATTAAAGTCCCTCAACTGCTTCCCCAGCTGTGATGTGGGTTTTCCACGTTGGAATGTTCCAGATGGAGTGAGACATGCTGACTCAATTACCCCCTTCCTGTCCTCAGTGGAGGAGGGGGACCCCCGCGTCTGCCCCCCAGGAGCGAGGGTGAGGGTCTTCATAGCTCTGGGGGTCCAAGCAGGAGCTTGGAGGGGGCTGCTTCCACCTGGGAGGGGTATGGACCCCACTGGTGAGCTGCCGAGGGCTGGGGTCCTCGTGGGGCCTTGCTCCCTGTCTCCCGGGAGGGGCTGGACAGGCAGGTCCGAGAGCCGTGCACTGGGCTTCACCGTGGGCCGTGCACGCCCCAGGCCCTCGGCACCCCGAGCCGACCCCGGCCCCTTGGTCCCTGTCTCAAGGGGAGGCAGGAAGGGGCGGGACCAGGATCCACGCTTGTTGTGGCCCCATGGCGAACCCTCCTCTAGATGAGACACCCCGAGAGGGTGGCAGCTTGCCCCAGCCTCACCACTACCTGCGAGGCCCATCCCCCTCAGTCCAAACCTGGGGCGTCACCTCCCGCACAGGGAGCAGTCTAGCTCCCACCCTCTCCTGCAGGAGGCCACCACAGCCTCGCCTGGGGGTGCAGCCTTGTGGATCACGGGGAACCCTAGACCTCAGGGATGGTCAGACCCTCCGGCTGTTGGCTTCCCTGGAAGATGGGCTGAGATCTGGTCCTGGTGGCCCCCCTGGTGGTCCAGAACTCAGAGCAGATGGGACTGGGGTCCGTGTGGGATGCCTCTGGCCAGCGACCTTCCCAGCATCCTGGGGCTGGCTGCTCAGGGCAGAGCCAGGTGTGGGTGAGAGGCTGGGCCCCAGGTCCTCCAGAGGAAGGACTGGATGGTGGACAGGACAGGACGCCTGGAAGCCTGTATGGTGGGGTCTGGCCTGGGCAGGACCTGTGAAGTTCCTCAGCCCCAGGACCAGGGCTGCTGTAGGAAAGGCCTGCATCCCCCAGTCCACATGGCCAGTCCCGCGTGGGCCCCAAGTCTAAGGCCCTTCCAGCTTTAGATGATCCATTCCTGGGCTCCAGGAGGGCGACTGGCCTGTGAGACCCCACCCCACCCCAGGCCGGAGCCCCTGCCCTGCTCAGCCCCCAAGCCTACCCGGGACTGCAGGGACCGCGGCGGTCTGGGGGCCGGGGACGGCGTCTGAGCTCTGTCTTTTTCTGGGCAGCTGCGTTGTTCTGCTGAGACCCTCTGCTCCCGGGAGCCTGTGGGTGGGAGCGGCATCTGCTGACGTCACAGAGCTGGTGGTGCATTGCTGTGGTACTTACATGTTCTAGAAGCTTCCTCTCAACACGACAAAGCTGACTGACGAGCATGTTCTCCTGGAACCAAAGCCCAGGTGGGGGTGTGGGGTAGGGGGCAGAGGGCCCTTGGCATTCTGGTGAACTCACTTCTATTGCCTTAGCTCTGGCGGCAGCCTCTGGGCGGTCCAGAACTATGGGCCCCTAGCACAGCCATCGCCGGGGGGCGGGGAGCTCCCCACTCCTGCCGTCTGGAGCCCCCTCCTGCTCCCCTCTCCACCTCACGCCTTCTGATCATGCTTGCTCTTCTATCTCCTGCACGCCAGCCTTGTAGTCCCACCCCGCTCAGCAGCGTCCCTAAAGCATCCGTGTCAAGGGTTAGGTGGACCCCTGCTGAGGGATCCGGAGAGCTCGGAAGCAGTGCAGGGGACAGTGGCTGAAAGAGCCTCATGGCTTCATTCGATCAATATTCATTCGACCCTGAGTGCCAGGCGAGTGGGCATGATCCCTGACCTCATGGAGTTCCCTTCTGGTGAGGGAGACAGACAAACCCACCACAGAACCAAAAAGCAAGGAGTGAGCCCTGCTGGCGCAGTGATTTGCAGTCAGCTCTGGCGGCGCAGTGCCTAAGGCCTTTGACTGCTAACCAGAAGGCTGGTGGTTCAAACCCACCAGCCATTCCACGGAAGGAAAGCTGAACAATCTACTTCCATAAAGATTTACCGCCTCGGAAACCCGAAGGGGGTTGCTGTGAGTCAGCATTGACTCAATGGCAGTGAGTCTGGTTTTGGTTTGGCTGACCAAAAGGTTGGTGGTTCGAGCCCACCCAACAGCTCTGCGGAAGAAGGAGCCGGCTGTCTGTTCCGTGAAGATCATCCCATGGAGCTGTCCTTGTCTGTTGCACATGGGTCACCATGAGTCAGCATCAAGTTGACAGCAGCTGAGAACAGAAATTGCAACAAACCCGAAAGCAAAACCTAAGTACAGACCGGGACAAATGCTCAGAAGGGGATAACCAGGGATGACGCCTGGCAGAGGGCGGGGCCTCTGGGGGAGAAGCCCATTCATCTGTCCCCGGGGTGCGGAGGGACCAGCTAGGTGGGGACCAACGTGTGCTGGAACCTACAGTGGGGACAACACGGCCTGTTTGGGCAGCTGTGTGTGAAGGGGACCCTGAACTGTACAACAGGCCCCGGGTCTGTCCCCAGAGGAGCTACAAAGAGGTGTTCAAACAGTTGTTCATGGCCACACAGCACACAACAGCCGAAAGGTGGCGACAGGTCCCTTAGCAGGTGAAGGGCCGACCCCCACAATGGGGTGTTACTCAGCCATGAGATACACGCTGCCCTGGATGACCCTGGCAGACCGGGTGCCCGGTGAGACACAGACTAGGGTGGGATCTCACCTCCATAACAGACCTGTTGGTGTGGTTGGGGGCCACCGAGGCGACTTTGTCCCCATGGACTCCTGGCGTGACATGTGACAGAGAACTGCCCGTAGGGTTTCCTTAGTCATGATCTTAACAGGAGCAGCTTACCTGGTCTTTCTCCTGCAGAGCTGCCGGTGGGTTCAAAGGGCCGACGTTCCGTTAGCAGCCCAGCCCTCAACCCTCAACCACTAGGGCCCTTTATGAAATGTCTCCAACAGGAGAATTGGTAGAGAAAGTAGGTGAGTGGCTGCCTCAGACTGGGGGCCCGGGGGTGGGGAGAACTGCTAGTGGGTACGGGGCTCCGTCTGGGGAGGCGGAATGTTCTGGAACTAGACAGGGCGCGGGGCTCCGTCTGGAGAGACGGAATGTTCTGGAACTAGACAGGGCGCGGGGCTCCGTCTGGGGACACAGAATGTTCTAGAGAGCCTGTGACAGCAGGCCACCTGAGTGATGTCCTTGCCCCCAGATCCTGCTG